GATCTTCTACGCTTAATTGCGCTTCTGCGCTTTGCTACGCTCGTGTGCTTTGCTGCACTTGTGTGATTTGCTGCGCTTCTGCACCTCGCCCCTTCGGCGCTTCTGCGCTTCTCGGCTTCTGCGCTCCATCATGGTGCTAGGGGGTGAAGAAACCTGATACAATTCCCGCATCGGGCAAGTCTAGCAGCTTCCAATCAAGGGACAAAGGGCCACAGCCTAGCTCACAGTTCCAGGAGAAACAAGCCACTTTATAGACGATGGTTTCCTTGGGTGAAAACAAGAACATCATGTCCATTGGACCATTGGAAGCTAAGGCCGAGAAGCATAGACGCCGCCAAAATCTACGTTGCTGAGAGGCCTAAAAGCCTAGAAGCCTAAAGCCGCGTCACGCCTAGAAGCCTAGAAGCCCTGCTGCGCTTCTGCACTTTACTGCGCTTCTACACTTCAGTGCACTTTCATGCTTCTGCGCTTTAGTGCGCTGCTACGCTTCTGCGCTTAATTGCGCTTGTACACTTCTACGCTTTATTGCGCTTGTGCGCTTCTGCTCTTTAGCTCGCTTCGTTGCTTCTGCGCGTTGCTCCGCTTCTGTCCTGTGCTGTGCTTCTGTGCTTTGCTGCGTCTCGCGCCCTGTCGGCGCTTCTGCGCTTCTCGGCTTCTGCGCTTCGCGCCCCGTCGGCGCTTCTGCGCTTCTCGGCTTCTGCGGTTTATTGCGCTTCTGCGCTTCGCGGCTTCGCCGCTTGACACACCCAGGCTGCAACCCAAATCCCCTTGCAATCAATTATCAGGCCATGGCCATGGCTGATACCTGGGTCTTCCATTTGGTCACTTTTTGGGGCTCTGGGCATTCTTTTTGATCGCTTCAGATTTTGAGCGGAAAATGAGCGGAAATCTTGATTTGGCATGATTTGGCAAGTTGTCTCCCGGAAAATGAGCGGAAATCGGCGGGAAATGAGCGCAAATCGTCGGGAAATGAGCGGAAATGTGCGGACACGCACCAGAACCACTTTCCAATTGAGCGGTTTCTTTCGAATTGAGCGTTTTTGGATGAAATGAGCACGGAAGACCCAGGTATGTCCTGATGTCTTGGTTATATGATGTCCTCTGCTATCCGGTATGTACAAGCAGCCATGGCTTCTCTTTCACAAGGTCTTAGTCAAAAGTTGCACTCTGAGCGCTTTATTCTCTCAAACCAAAGGGCCGCCAGGAAGGCGAGGAATCTATTCGGCTCTCCACTAGGTTCCGTTCATAAGGTCTTAGTCAAAAGTTGCACTCTGAGCGTGTTTTTCTCCCTCAAATCAATGGGTCCCCTCAATTCCCTCCTTTCAGAAGCCACAAACAACAGAACCCGAACTGGCTAGTCTTGGTTTGAATTCTTTACTTGAACAACGCAATCTGAAATAGCTCTGGCCAAAAACCGGGGGACCCTAGAATAAAACTCTCCGAGGTTTTTTGACTTAGGGGCCATTCTGGAGGTTGCGAATAATTACCACCGAACCACAATCAAAAACAACATGGACACCACCAAAACAGCACCACAAACAAAACCGAAATGCCGCCGCAATACCACACAAGCACAACCCGCTGGAACACCACAGAGACACAACCAAATCACCGCCTTGCGGTCTGCCAGAATGTTGGCAGGAAGCACGAAAAACAGGTGCAAACATAATCAAGGCATACCAGCTGGTGGAAGGACAAAAGAAATTGATGCCTGGGGGATGGGGTGAAAGTGTAACATGCCAATGGGAATTCAAGAAACAACAGCTTCAAACAAGTGCATCTTTCCAACTTTTGAAACGTTGCTAACGCAAGGAAGTACTCAATCAAGGTAGCCACCCAAAAACTACCTTTCGTAAAATGTTCTTCAATATCGTGCTTAACTCTGGCCACCAAAAAATGGAATCATCGCAGCACATCTGAAGCGGCTATGTCTGTAGGCCGCGGAAGTATGACGCACCTGCCGGCCATGAATAAGCCGCCGGCCATCACATTCATTTTTCATTGCAGGGTTGGCTTTGTGATATGCTTTGTGACCGTGAACCCCCGCCGCAAAACCATCAGCCAACCCCAATGCAAAGATGTGGCCAAGGTGCTACCTTGCTTTAGTGCTAAGCCTGTAGGACTTTGGCACATGCTTAAAAAAATAGCTGCAATGCCTGCAAGTTGCGCAGGCATAGCGCCGGGCTGTGCGTATGTCATCAATCCTCTTGTCAGCCGCCAACACTAACGCGGGACAGTTAGCGACTTGGATCAAAATTGAAGAAACCATTTCTCATGGAACACAACTGTGCCAGCAGCTTGCAACTGTCAACGTGCTGTTTGTTGTGAGGTGCAGTGGGAAACTCATGCCATACAACCCGAACATGCATTGAACAGAATTGCAAAAAACGCTGCGACATCTGCCGAGGGGAATGGTGCTCAGGAAGGGCGGTCTGGCTGTAGAGCGTGCTTTGCGAATCGTGCGTTTCTGTTAACCCTACTTTGGTTGAATAGGGATCGTCCGGGCGAGTGCCGCGCTGGAACGTTGACATTCTCATTCTTGAGGCGTCGCAGGATTCTGGTTGCAAGGCATGTACCTCAGCAAAGGGCACGGCCTACGTCGATGAACGTTACCGTGAAACCGCAAGTGTTGATGGCGCTGTCGGGGCTGGCTAAGACCAAGAACCTTGACAATGCCAGGGCTCATACTGGGTCGCATGACATGATGAGCCGGCGCAAGAACAAGATCACGCTACTGGCGGCGCTGGGTAATTTGACGACTGCAAAAGCAAAGAAGTTTCTGTTGCTGCGCCCCTTTCAGCACGCTCCTTAATTGAACGCTGAAACAAAGTTGTCATGACCGGGGGTCTCCCACGGGATTGCACCACTGCAAGATCAAAATCCAAGGTGCAACCTGACCTCAGATCTGTGCAGGATTGTGAAAATCCTGCCCAACCCCAACTCATCCTGCCCATGACTGACCCGAGCTGTGCCCTCAAATTCGACATGCCCCTACCCCGCCCCATCTGCAATGCGACTTGCACTCTGTCTCGCTCTCCTTCTCTAGCTAGCCACTCCGCCGTACAACACTCCACATACATACTACTCCTGGCGCAAGTGCAAGTAGGATTGCCATCGCCCAACGAGCAAACATCTACCTTTTTGCCAGTGCCGCTTTTGTCCGGCAGGGCGCCTGACGCTAAACACCGCAAACGAGAAGGATAGCGACAGTTTTGACGATCACATCTTGGCAAAGTTCGCAAATAAGCAAGTGAGCAGGATCATGAAGACGCTGCGGCGAAAGGGGCATTACGAGGAACGGGCGGTAGTCGCAAAGTTGAGTTGACGTTCTAGCCCATGCGCGGAGCGGCATCCAAGCGGCGCGCGTGCGCACCGTGGCTGTTTGCCGGCGCTGGCGGATTGCACGGCTACGGTAGGCGTCGGCATTAAACTATCATGCTCTTGCGGCAAAACACCAGATAGTGCCGAAACCTTCAAGTGGTGGAAGCGCCACATTCGGAACGTGCGCTCGCGACTTAGTACAAGTTTGTGAACAAACGGCTTTACGGCCACTTTGGAAACTCACATAACTACATGTCATCATGCGTTCTCCTTTCTTTGATGCTTATTGCGTAGCTAACTTCCCATCTCCACACCGGCTGCAAGGCTTTCTGAAAGGAATCCAAGACCCCGTGCACCGATCATAAGGACCTGATGCACCGGGCTGACACGAAAGCAGCGGGCTGATAAGAAAGCTTTCGCATGGCGGGGACCCAGCCAGTGGTCACAGCAGAAAGGAGGAATGTTGTAGTGGGATTTGTCCGTTGAGCTGGAAAAAGCATGACGTCCGAGTATACGGGAGGGGGTGGCTGGTTGGCGTACTCTCCGGGGCCGAACTCACAACAAAAATGCGAGTGGCAGAGCAGAGTGTTTGCAATGACCCAAGGAGGCTAAATCGAAGCCCAGCGACAGGAACCTGGGAGTACTGCCGCTATGTTTGGCCATCGGACCTTTTCGGACCTTTTGCAACGAACGCACTGAGATGGACTGACCTCTAAATTTCTACAAGATGCCCCCCGCGTTCACGTAGAAAAACAAAGGTCCTGCCCGTTCACACAAAGTGAACCGCTACATCAAACATCAAGTGCACTTGTGCGTGCACTCTCGGCCTATTCATCGGGATGCTCACTGGCTGGGTCCATGCGCCACTGGAGACGCAAAAAAATGACTGGCCGCTACAAAGCCACCCTGCTGGATCGCCAGCCAAACAGCACCACTGCAGTATCCACTGCACTTCAATTGAACACCCACAACAACAACAAAAAACAACTTGATGCTTGAGAGGCGGCAGGCTTCGTTTCCTTGCGCCCCTTCTTCAAGCTAGCGCCAAGCCTGTCAGTAAGATCTCTCAAACCGGAGAAGTACTTCAAGGCAATTCATCAAATCGGCACCCGCTTGGCCCAAAATGCACGGTCAAAAGCCCGAACGACTGGCGTCCCGCCAATGAAGCTCTCATTGCCCGGCCTTTGCCGTGAAAAGGCACATTCAAGTTGGAATAGGCGCAAAACTCGCTCCATCATAACACGAAAACGCAACACTAGCCGGAATTCTCAGCACAAAGCTGGGAGTTGAAGCACAGTGGAAGCATGTGTGAACAGTTCGGGCTGCTTGGCTCACAGCCTCGCATGGGCATTTGAAGCAGCTCCGCTGCTTTGCGCCCGTTGCGTGTGGCTTCTGGCCGTTCAGGGCTAACTTTGAAAGGAATGGACTGGCTTTCACTTGCTATGCCCGACTTCGTAGGAACACCAAGCCCCAGAAATCTGGCGCACAGCGCCGTGAAACAAGTGCACTGCAATCATCATGGTCAGGGGCGAGGGTTCCACGACATGCCGTGGCGGCAACAACCAGCCAGGAAAGCTGCACCCTGCAGATTGAAACGCGAATGCTTATAGTTTTCCTGAGCTAGTGCAGGCGAGCACGAAGCAAAAAGATCAAAAAGGGGAAACGGAAGGGCAGTGACCTCAGAAGTCGGCGTCGTAGATTTGCAAAAGCTCAGCAAAGGCTCGGCTGATCTCTTGGCTGCGGCACAGCAGAATCAGGCGTCGGAAGGACATCTGGGTCAAGGTTTTGGACAGCCTCAGCCCAATTCCCAAGCACCATGAAAGTGCAAATGCACTTTACCTGGAATGCGGCCAAGTAGCTGCGCAGCCCTATTAGCTGGCACCGGTGTCCCCTGGGCTTTGGACCGGGCCGCTTTGGGAGAAACAATGCATTTACCGGGCCCTCGCTTTCCGTGAAGGCAAGCCCGATTCACGAACGGATCCCTTGAAGTCCTTTAGGCTCTTTGTAGCACACCCAACAGCCCACTAGACACAAAATGACGAGAGCACATGCAAAGCAAGTAGCGCGAAATTCCACGCAGAGCAAGGTGAACACGGGAGCGCGGCAAAGCAGGTAGCACGACAGCACATGCAGAGCAAGTAGTACGGAGAGCAGATGCAAAGAAAGCAGCGCAGGAGCACGTTTAGAGCACGTGCTCAGAGCAAGTAGCGCGCGAGCACACGCAAAGCAAGCAGTGCAAGAGCACATGTAGAGCAAGATGTGCAAGAGGACATGCAGAGCAAGTAGCACGAGAGCACACGCACACGCAGAGCAAGCAGTGCAAGAGCACATGTAGAGCAAGTCTGTCAAATCTGCTCTTGCCAGTTGGGCGACGGATGTACGGAGAGGGGGGACTACGAGGAGCGTTGGCTCGGGGAATGGCTTGCCCACTCATTTTACACATTTCAGTCTGATTGCGACCGCAATAAAGCGACAAACAAGTTGTGTTGCCTCCGAATTTTTGTAGGCTGCTGGGTGCGTTGGGGCAAAAAATCGCCTGGCATGCGCCCACATGGGTGCCAAACCTAGTGGCTCCAAGCAAAGAAACGAGGCCAACGTCGTGTGGCATGGTTCACACTTCCTCAGGCTCGTGGTCATGAGCCATTTTTAAGCACAACGTCGCGCAACCACTGCGCTGGCTCTGGCAATTCTCCATTCCAAGGTTGACCTTCCCTACCTCGACCATTGGCCATTGCCCACCTTTCGCTCTGATTTTCGGGTGAAGGATGGCAAGGCTGGGGCCAGCACCTCCGGTAGCTCCTGTAGGCGTTGCTCAAGCGCCTGAATCACAGGCTCCGCCTGCGCCTGGCGATCACTCACAGACCCATTCAGAAATGCGTGGCAACAGAAAGGCATTTGGGCTCAAGTTTTGCTCCTTTCCTCAATCGGATTGGGCTCAGTTGAATCTTTGGCAGTGAAACTGTGGTTCCCAAAGGCGGGATCCCATGAATTTGGGTGGAAGGGACCAAGAAATATGAAGCTAGCAGCCACTGGCGCACATGACCCCAACCTTTTGGACACCCCACGCTTGTGGGAGAGTAGGTCTTGAGGTTCGTTGGCTTGGCACATGAGCCAGAAAGCTTCCTTTGGCGTAGTCGAAAAACACTTCTTGGGATTTGTCCATAGGAAGGCACTTGCCTCTCTGTTTCCCTGCACCCTTCCTTAATAAATTTCAGGCGAGCATACCGCAGCTCCCCCGTAGCCCTCAACAGGTTCTAAAGATCCCCCCTCAAATCTCCCAATCCCCTCGCAAAAGCAACAAACAAACATTCACATCTTCATTAAATTCGCCCACCAAAAACCAAAGGAGGGCAAGAGCACATCTCTGCCTCCGGGAGCTTCTTGGCGCGTACTCGCAGATAGGGCAGCAGCAGCTTGAGGGCCTCCGCCTCGCCCAAGGACCTGCGGACTCCGCGCGCTCCGCCCTTCAAAACCCCGAGTTCCGAGTTCGGGTGCGCAAGGGGCGCAGAAATTCCAGAAAGCCACTCAACTAAACGGTTCCGGTACATACAGCCTGCGTAGGCCTCCCTCGATCAGCACACCCCCCTAATGGCAGGTGGACAATCCACAGTCAGCCAAAACCTGCGGAGACTAAAGCTCATATGGAAGCGCCCCGGCCTCAAAATCTCGCGCTGCGCCTTGTTAAACTTCACACCGGTGCGGTGCGCGTGGTGGCAAAACTTGCACTTGGAACCTTCCGTGCACTTCCCGTGGGCCCTGGGCTCACAAGGCACAACTCTCGCTCCCTCTCGACGCAGGGAAGGCTCAAGGCTGCCCGAACTTAAACCAAGACCAATTGCTCTCCCTGGCCCAAGAGGCCCCCTTCCCCCAACAAGCATGCAGAGTTCTGTAGGATAGGTCTTGAGAGACTAGCCTCCTAACGGTCGCCAAAAGTAAAAACCCTGAAGGCGTTGCCACACCATGGCCTGGAAGGCCGGAACTGGCGTTCATAAGACTTCAAAGGAAGTGTGCACTTCCAATTGCCGGGATTCCATGGGATTCCAAGATCTCGTGCTGCTGTGCCGCTGTGCCGCCGCTTGGCAGAAACGGATCCAACCAGTCATGCATGTCGTGCTTCCGCGCTGTGAGCAGGGCTGGGGCACTCGATAAGACTTTCTGGGAGAATCCTGGTCCTGCTGGGAAACACAAGCAACTATCCAGTAATGTCTCTTTGTTTGTGGTTTCTAGGATGTTCGATGGTCATGTTGGATGAGTTGGGAAACTTGACGTGGGGTGCAAGCAGGCTGTGAGCCAAGTGCAGTCCAGGGTCAGGAGAATGCACGGCTTCCGGCACAACTCTGGATGGCCCAGGGATCCAACGGACGGTGCCTGCACCTGCGCGGGCAGTAAGCGCCGTTGTTTTTGTGTTGCTTTTCGGTGTAGGAGCAAGGATTCAGAAGTCGACATGTAAAGAGTTGAGAATGTTTAACTTTCAGGTTGCAGTTGGCTTTGGTGGGGGAGGTTCTTTAGGGAGTTTCGGTCGGAACTGGGTCTTGTGCCAGCGGTTTCCAGCATTTAACCAGCTGCTCGACAAGCAGTCGGATCTAAACAGTTGGACCCCTGTCGGCACATGATTAATAAACTCCCTATGAATAAACTAGAGGACGATTGGCCCGAAAGCATTTTTCCACAGGTGCTCATCCAGCCGCGGAGACACCTTTTTACATCGCTGCGGCGAGCGTGTCTGCGCGCGGCAATGCTCAGTGTGTATGGTCACATGAGAGCTCCATCTCATCATCCTACTTTCCTCTCGAACTGCGCCGCGCGATTTCTCACGAAAGTGGTCTGCGCAAGCTGCATTGTTCCAGGCTGCTGCGCGCAAGTTGCTCTCTGCAAGCTGCTGCGCGCAAGTGCTCTGTGCAAGTTGCTCTGCGCAAGTGCTCTGAGCAAGTTGCTCTGCGCAAGTGCTCTGCGCCAGTTGCTCCGCGCAAGCGCTTTGCGCATGTGCTCTGCGCAATGCGCTGCTCTGTGCAAGTTGCTCTGCGCAAGTGCTCTGAGCAAGTTGCTCTGCGCAAGGGCTCTGCGCCAGTTGCTCCGTGCAAGCGCTTTGCGCATGTGCTCTGTGCAAGTTGGTCTGTGCAAGTTGCTCTGCGCAAGTGCTTTGTGCAATTGCTCTGTGCAAGTTGCTCTGCGCAAGTTGCTCTGCGCAAGTGACTCTGCGCAAGTTGCTCTGCGCAAGTGCTGCCGGAGCTGCGGGGGTGTGCTCCGCGTACTACGTTTGTACTTAAAAGTTGCGATTCTCCAGCCGGAGCTGCGGGCGCGTACTACGTTTGTACTTAAAAGTTGCGATTTTCCAGCCTGAGCTGCGGGAGCACGCTCCGCATACTACGTCTGTACTTAAAAATTGCGATTTTCCACCCGGAGCTGCAGGAGCACGCTCCGCGTACTACGTTTGTACTTAAAAGTTGCGATTTTCAAGCCGGAGCTGCGGGGGTGTGCTCCGCGTACTACGTTTGTACTTAAAAGTTGCGATTTTCCAGCCTGAGCTGCGGGAGCACGCTCCGCACACTACGTCTGTACTTAAAAGTTACGATTTTCCAGCCGGAGCTGCAGGAGCACGCTCCGCGTACTACGTTTGTACTTAAAAGCTGCGATTTTCAAGCCGGAGCTGCCGCGGACCAGGGGGGAATCGAACCCGCGACCGCGGGATTGCGAAAGCAGGCGCGCAAACCACGAGACAACTTCCAAAGGCCGTTTCGCGAGCAAGAATATTGCACGGCGCCACAGCGAGAGCGCTTCGACACGCACAATCTCCGCAGAGGGTTCGCCGAGACTAAGACAAATTCGCACGGCGCCACAGCGAGAGCGCTTTGACGCGCACGATCTCCGCAGAGGGTCGCGCGCGGCCAGCATCGTGAAAAGCCCTCAGTTTTTGAACCTCGACCACGCGATCTCCGCAGAGCCCTCAGTTTTTGAACCTCGACCACGCGAATCTCCGCAGAGGGTCGCGCGCGCATGCTAAAAATCGTAAAAAGTCCTCAGTTTTTGAACCTCGACCACGCGAATCTCCGCAGAGGGTCGCGCGCGCATGCTAAAAATCGTAAAAAGTCCTCAGTTTTTGAACCTCGACCACGCGAATCTCCGCAGAGGGTCGCGCGCGCCAGCAGAAATCGTAAAAAGTCCTCAGTTTTTGAACCTCGACCACGCGAATCTCCGCAGAGGGTCGCGCGCGGCCAGCAGAAATCGTAAAAAGTCCTCAGTTTTTGAACCTCGACCACGCGAATCTCCGCAGAGGGTCGCGCGCGGCCAGCAAAATCGTAAAAAGTCCTCAGTTTTTGAACCTCGACCACGCGAATCTCCGCAGAGGGTCGCAATCCCGAGCGACGATCAAACTCCCGCCCCGGCGCCTTAGAAACCTAAACTAACTTACATAGCTGCTAACGCCGAAAGCTCTACCTAACCTTGGCTATATGTAACTTGGCTCTATGTAACTTGGCTCTATGTAACTTGGCTCTATGTAACTTGGCTCTATGTAACTTGGCTCTATGTAACTTGGCTCTATGTAACTTGGCTCTATGTAACTTGGCTCTATGTAACTTGGCTCTATGTAACTTGGCTCTATGTAACTTGGCTCTATGTAACTTGGCTCTATGTAACTTGGCTCTATGTAACTTGGCTCTATGTAACTTGGCTCTATGTAACTTGGCTCTATGTAACTTGGCTCTATGTAACTTGGCTCTATGTAACTTGGCTCTATGTAACTTGGCTCTATGTAACTTGGCTCTATGTAACTTGGCTCTATGTAAATGTAACTTGGCTCTATGTAACTTGGCTCTATGTAACTTGGCTCTATGTAACTTGGCTCTATGTAACTTGGCTCTATGTAACTTGGCTCTATGTAACTTGGCTCTATGTAACTTGGCTCCATGTAACTTGTCCAAGGGCTCCGCACGGAAGAACCCTTTGCGATGCTTTCGGGAAAAACGCCCGTTTGCCCAGCCGACTGCCAGCCAATACACAGTTAAAGGCACCCGCAAAGGCTTGGCAAAAAGACTCCTCTTAATGTGTTTGGGGCACACCTCCCAAAGCTCCCTCTGATTAAAGACGTCGACCCCTCTCCAGCCCCGGAAAATAAACAAATGCAATGTCCCTTTCCTTTCCCATTGAAGTCCAATTGGCCAGACAGCAGACAGGGGCCCACACAGGAAAGGACCGGAGAAGACTGGCCCCAAACAAATCCATCATATGTTTCTCATTGAAGAGGGAGCATGATTGCGAAAGGTTTTGAGCTGGACCTCTGCCAAATTTGGCGCATTGACGGAAACTCAAAGATGAACAACCCCCAGTTGTTTCAAACAAAGGTGACTTTGAACAAAGACCCGCTGGCAAGCATCCCCCAAAAAAGACAAATAATGCTTTCTGATCTGCAGTCGCCCTTGCGTGCCCGCGCATCCAGCCGCCGACGTTCAGCAAAAGCCCAAACCGATCCGGATCTTCATTTGCAGGTTGTTGACGCTACGAGCTGAGAGGGGTCAGACGGGTAGCCCCGTATCAATCACACACCCAACGAGCAACCAATGTTACGTTAATATGTCCAAATCGAAAAGTTGACTGGCAACCGGCCCTCTAGCTCACCAAACTGAAATAAATATGTGATCAAGCATTGCAGAAACTCTCTGTAGCTTGTTGTTGAGCTAATAGTATGTCCGCCCTTTGGGATTGCATGCTGCTTTGCAAGTTGCATCAACAAGTAGCCTCGAGGCCCTGAGCTGCCGGAGGTAAGTTGGGAAACTCAGAAGCGCGCAGGACATTTCCTTTCTTCTGCTTGGTCGTTTGGTCTGGTTGTTTGGTTATTGGGGCCCTGTTTCCCTGAGCTGTGGGGGGTTCCGAAAATAGATATTGTCGCTGAAATGTTTGGATTCAACTGCAGCGCCGTTTCCTGAAATCTCGTTCATTGGCCCGCCATTAGCCCACCTCCGTCAGGAAGGAGCGGGAACTTGCGCGCTTCTCCAATTCAGCCACCTGAGCGAGCGCTAGGTGTAAAGCACCGATGGAGCGCATGACATGTGCCTTTCCTTTCGCAAAGGTGGGACGTATGTTAGAGCCCCATACTAAACTACACGCATTTCAGGGGGATGCTACCATGAGCAGAACCCAGCATACGCAAAAGATTCAGACAGGCACTCCTATCCTCCGAGCTCATGCGCCCATGGCTCAGTTCTGTTCTGCTGCCCCGGTCAACTCTGGCCTTCGGCCAAGGCCTATGATGGCAGTTGATCGCTACCCAGGCAATAATTCAGCCGCATGTGACGAAGTGGTTCCAGGGACACAGTGGCCGTTTCGTCAAAGAGGATACTGTGCCTTTTCCGCAGGGAGGTTCCTGCGTCAGGTTCAACATCACTACCTGGCAGGCCTTGCCACCTGACAAAGTTTAGCATGCTGGAAGGTTTGCGGGATCTTGTCTAGCAATAGAATCGGACCATGCCTGGAAAGTCAAGCTAAGACCTAGCTACAGCCTGGTACTTCTTTAGAGCCGGCTTACCAAAGGTTGCAAGTAGACTTTCACCAATTGACTTTCCCGGACCTCACGCGATTCTTTTGCCCCAAGTTCCACTGGCGCACGAGGCACGTAATCCTCCTCATGGTGTTCTTGGCGCCGGGGTGGCAAACTCTGGCATCGCTTCATATCATGCCCCTCCTGCGCTGGTCAAATGGGCCATGGGGAAGGAGCCTGGCTGCAAGAACAATTAGGTGCCAAATGAGTCCACTGACCTGGGCGCGAGGATCTGTTGACTAGACCATCATGGCGAGGGCCGATACCAGGGCATCAGACAAAGAGATTACTCAATCCACCTGATTGATATTAAAAGAGTATCGAATTCAAGAAAGTTGCCCCGCCCTTTGCCCGGCCTGGAAATGTGCCCCTGGTTTCTCAAACAACAGACTTTTCGTATTCGATCGTCTTCTACTGTCTCAAAATCCAAAACACGTTGAACGTGTCGGTGCCCCCAAACTGCAAATTATTTATCAAAGCCTTCTTGGAAGAGCCCGGTCAACAGTTGTCCAAGGGGGGAGCGCAGCCAAGGCCGAGATACAAAAAAGACAAGCTGAAACATGGTACTCAATTGAGGCACTAAACTTGCCCGGCAGAAGCCTCCCAATTGCAAACTAACACACCACCAATACTCAATAACCAGTACTCTACTAATTACTTAAAACCCACAAGCCGAGAAACAAGTCCGTGCCCCCAAACTGCAACTTCTTGAATGTCCAAGCGGGGAGTACAGCCGAAATCAAGATACAACAACAAAAAGTAAGAATCGAAAAAAGGGTACTTGATTGAGGCGATCAATTTCCCCAATGCTAACTTGGAATCCTAGCAGCCCTAAGAAGCTCTATCCAATACTAATCAGAGGGACCGAAGGGGACGAAAAGGACCGAAAAGGACCGAAAAGGACCGACAATACAAACAAATGCAAAACCAATCTTGAGTAAGAAAAGCGCAATCCGCAACCAACACAATTCCGAAAAATGGCATTGATTTCAGCTATTATATTATTCAAATCTATTTTGCTAACTGCCAGGGCATGTAACTGTTCCGCCTCCCGAATATCTTAGGCCAAACGCGAGCGGGGCGGTATGTAACAGCAAGGCGAAGGCCCTGCACAAAGCAGTGCGCCCGCAAGAAAAACACATGCCCAAATGCGCACAATTCAAAACCGCCGTCGTGCCCGAGGCCCGGAGTCGAATGCCCAATCCTCGCGCACCGAGATGAAGGTGAACTTGTAGCAGTACATTGGCGCCAGAAGAAAAAACTGGGGACAATGCGGAGCTGTGCAGCAAGACTCGGGCCAAAATACTGTTGAGGGTGGCGGGGAATCCGGACGCTTGCGAGAAATCTGCCTTCCCATTGGCCTTTCTCAGTGTGAAACTCGCTCCCCCGCAGCAAAGCGTGATGCTCCTGAGTTGGCACTGCAGGCTCTCCCGCCTCCTGAATTTTCAACGCACTCACATCACTCGGCCATTTTCTCAGCACGTCTGCGTCTCGGTTCGCCGTCGTCAGGGCTCTCGCAAGGCTCAGCTTCACGTCGCATCGCGGGAACGTCTTGGCCATCGCGTCGCAGCGCAGCTCAGCCGCCGCTCTCTTCCACGTCGATGCCGACGGAACTTCAGGGAGCCGCGAACATGGCCCGTGAGCATCTCGCCTCAGATTCACACTTCCAACAATGGATTCAAGGCCCCTCTGGGTTCCATGCCCCTTCTTACCGGAAAAGGCTCGCAACAGCCACCACCAATTCTGCCTAGCCAGGTAGCCGTCGAGCAAGCTGTGGCTCAAGGAATCTGCAGAAGCTTGGCTGCAAACTCTTCCGGAAGCTCGCCCCGCTTTGCTTTGGCACGGGTGCGCTTCAGCCAAAAGGCAAGACGCCTAGAGGGTGAGTCACCCTCTCAAGGCTGTTTAGAGCGCCATGCCACTTACCAAAGCCCTAATCAACATCATGCATCTCCATGACTCCATGACAAACGCAGGAGTTCAAGTTGTCCCCCAGCCTTTCTTCCCTGGCTCCGGCTGACAACTTCGGCGGCCCATTCGTCTCCAACCATCGTGTCAGCGACTCAAAGTTTGTCTCCTCGTCTGAGCTGACGGCTAACTGTTCCACAAAAACATGCCTTGGGCCATTAACAACTAAGTGAGTCCTTTTGAGGCTTCACAAGAACAAGGCCACTGTCGACCGAAACCACACAAATGCCAACCTGCTGAGTCACCCAGCTGTCAATAGCTGTCTGATCATAGAGATCATCCCAGAAATCGCCCAGAGCAGCTTGCAACTCTGAGAGCTTCTTTGGTTGTAAGTCTCCGTCCACTGCGTTCACCAAGCTGCCTAGCTTGACGTCGGCAACATGTAAAAGTAACTGAGGTTCAAAAAAAAGCCTCCCCAAACCAAACACGAAGGAAGCTTTGCAGCACGTAAAGGATTCGGGTGTCCAATGATTCATGAATGGAATGCTTGTGATTCCACTTCAAGTACTGTATCTAACCTCGGGCGTGGGAACCCTCCTGCCTTCGGTCGGCTTGGGGTCATGAATCACAAGTGCCCCCCCCCCCCCCTGACAAAATGGCAACGCGGGGCAAAGTTAGGTTGCCGAATCTAGCATTGCACCGCCGTCCTTTGTGCTGCACAATGCTGCACAGCCTCAAGCTTTTCAGCTGGATTTGCCCTCATGCAAATGAACACAGCAAAACCGGCCTGCCGAGTCTTCAATTCAATCGCTGCGCTATGGAGGCTACCTGAACACTCGGCAGGCCACCTTGGCAGTTGAAACATGGTCATTATTTCGGGCGTTGGTGTTTCGCAATGCTGAAGTCCGGAGATGTAAATCCTTTGAGGGCACTTCACCTGAGTGGAAAGTTCCCTCTTTCCGCCTTCCTCCCCCCCCTGCAAGGAGAAACTGAGTTGCAGTGCAGCCATCTGGCCAGCTTCAGCTCCTCCCCGGCACCGCGCAGCGAAGGGGTGCGCTTCTTGGTGGACAGCCAATGGCCCAACAGCTGGAGCCGCTGCGGCCAAACACCAGGCCCACAGCCGTTGGATTGGATCTGGGATCGGAAAGACCGGAGGTGTTGAGGTGTTGAGGTGTTGAGGTGTTGAGGTCTTTTGCTTTGCGGAGGTTGGACTTTGGAACTTGTGGGTCGTTGCAAATTGCGGGCAGCCAACCGCACATGTCAGTAGGGAACACCCTCTCTCAAGCAAGGGAATGTGTGTGAATGCATGAGGAAGGCTAGTCAAATCAACTCGGTCTTTGAATTGGACCTGACTGTAGATGTGAACGAAAAAGAGAAAAGCAAACTTGGTCCAACGCTGGCACTTTCTCTTGCACAAGGCATCTCAACTGATTGAGCCGTTTCTAGAAACAGAAGTGCAAATTGGGGTGGGCACTGGCCAAGTTTATCTGGCCAAGATGCAAGCCGTTCTCGCAAATGCGGGATTTGCTTCAGCTTCACTAAGCGCTCGGGTGGCATCTCTCCACGACGAGCTGACGCGCATGAGTTGCTGAGCCATGTTGCCAGCTGTTTCTCATTGTCCTGGGGCAATCGCACGCAATTATGACGAGCTCTGTGGATTCCTACGGTTCGATACCCTCAGGCAGCAATGCCAGCTACGCAAACCCTCTCATGCGAGACTTCCTTGGGGCTTTCGTGGCGTGTTGTTTGCAAACAATGGGATTCAGTGCGTGCAACACTTGGACCCAGGCAGAGCAGCTTGTAGGCATTGCACACTTGCAGACAAAGCGCGACGGACGCCCCCCTCGAAGAATCAAACTTTTCGAGACAAACATGTAGCCAGCCCTACTTTGATTTGAGTCAGGCTCAATGTGGAAGATGCTGGCTGCCTCAAGCGCTACGACAAAATGTGCAGCTTTGCAATGCCAACGGCAAGCTGAATATAGCTGGGCAGCCAAGCCCCAGAAGTAGTTCCGGAGAATCATGTGCCGCAATCAAACCACAAAACACAGTCTGGGCAAAGTTGAGCATCTAGCAGTGTGAATTCACGAGCTTCCGACACTTTCCCAACACAAATCAGCACGGCCCATCAACCTAGCACAACAAACTGCATTCAGGCAAACAATGTGAATTGGTGAATCGCCATTGCCGAGACCACGATTTGGAGCTCCGGTCCTGGGACTTCGGCAGGCGTCCATGAGCTGCCACCCAGGCCTGGAAAGGAATGCAGCGAGGTTTACCGGTGGAAAATCCGGCAGGTCCCGCGTGATGGGACTTTCAGTCGAATCAGATCTCATGGGCACCTTGCAAGTTTGGTGGGGGGTGACTTGCACGTGCACTTTGGATTCATAGCATCACAGCTGCGAAGGTAAAAGCCATGGGCTTGCCTGCACTGAGGCATAGCCATCCTCCCAGTTCGAGGGCTTCACTCGCCGGCGCAAGCGGTGAGCCATGCCCGGGATGGATTGCAGCTGGTCCACTTGCTCCTGTGTGCAGACTGGCTGGTCCGCTGCCATCTGCCTGTTCTCTAGCCATCTGGTTGTGCATGCTGTTCCAGGCAAGCAGTCACGCAACAACCAAGTTCACAACCGCCTTGTGCCAAGCACAAGAAAAAAACAACACGTACTTGAGCAATGCCTGTACTCATCAGGAAAAATATGTGCGGTCGACCGACCTCATGCTTCAGACACTGACAGGTACAACGAATTGAATAAGTGCAAGCAAAACATAGACGTTCTGCACTGTTCAAAAACCCCTTCCAGCCCCCAATGCGAGTGTCGCCACTAATCTGAAGGACCTTGTCACCATGGGCATTTCAGCCCGCAGCGTGAAGTCGGTAGCTCTAGACTTGTTTCATCCTCCAACTTCCTTTCATAGCAACATTTGGGAAGCAACTCTTCCAAGCACTTTGCTCCTTGCCTTGCCACCCTTCCAGCCCTCAGCTCCTCTTGCGTCGCTCCCCTTTCTTGCCCTGACACCCACCCCTGCCCATAGCCATGTTCCGAAGCCCTTGGCCCACACGCTGAACAAGTTTGCTCCTCAAGGTGTCCAGTTTCAGCACATCCACATCTTCCCTTTCTCCCCATCTTCCCCTTTCTCCCTCTTCCCTTTGCTCCACATCCGTTGTCCTGGTCCAGCTTCTTGCGGGCAAAGGCCTTGCGCGCGTGGTCCACCCACCACCCCAGCTTCGCCTCCATGGGCCGGCGCCGGTAGATGGAAGGCAGCCGCCCGGCCACCGCCACCCACCGCTTCAGCTGCCGGAACCGCTTCCTCGGGGGGAAAGCGAACTGCGCCCAAAGTACATGGCTGTGGATCAAAACCAATGGGAGCCCATTTTGGGGTAGGTGCACCACCCATTTTAGTCTATTTAAGTGGGGATTCGGATGGCAGATTGCCCAACACATTCCCATGCTTTGCTGTCTGCAAGTCTGAATAACAACCGCCTTTGCACGCCACAACCCTTCTTATGAACCACACGACTCTTGCCCGACCGTGTTCTGAGATGGTCTTGGCGGCCTGTTCACTGGGGGTATGGGCTTTATGGCCACATGTCCCCACTTGAGGGGAGTTTCCCTCAAACATTTCATGTTCACCACAAACCGCCATGAAAACGACAAACGTCGACAAACAGGACGGCATTGATCACCTATGGGACGACACCCACTATCGCTTGAAGCAGGCAGCTCGATACACCCAATTTTGGCATACACTCCCGGCAGGTTGGGAATCCACCGCTCGAAACATATCGGATTCCTGCAACAAAGAGCAACCTTTCAAGCCCCAAACAAATCAGAAACCCGAAAGCTCCAAAGGTCGAACTTTGAACTTAGACTGCAGACAAAAAAAAAGAGCGAGACTCGCGGCCAGAGTTTTCGTTTGGGCCAATCGGGCGGCCTTTCTGAAAATCGCCCAGAAGACGCCAACCAACACTGATGACACAAGGCGTTGGAACCAACAATGCTTTCGTAGACGCTGATCCCAGGAAACAGGGCACAAATGATACATGCAAGCTTCTGCCAGAAGGAGTCATAATTCTCCTCTGTGATCTGAGTTGGCATCTTCTCCGCAAAGTAAGGATGGTTCCGGAGAATCGCTCGCTGATTTTGGTCCAGTCGTTTGGCCTGCATCTTCGACAGGGTGCCTTGCACCCAGTCCACAAACTCCGCGGCTGTCTGGAATACTCCGCTGGCCAAGGCATCGGTTTCGACATCGTCTTCGCTCGCGGGAAGCTCGTGATGCTGATCTGCCCAGTGCTGCGCGAACTCGCAGCGCTTCCGAAAAACGACCAGCTCCTTCGGGGCGGAAGCATCCTAACACATTCACTTGAAGGGGTGGTTGCAGAAAACGGAGCTCCAAACATCCATGGAGAAATGGCCGTGGCCATGTCCAATAGTGCACGGAACAAATGACGCCAAGTGAGTATGATCCTGTCCCGCGGGTGGAACCAACAGATCTAAAGCGTCAGCAAAGCGACATAATGCAACTCGTCCTACCCTATCAGCTGTGGGGGGTCGGGGCTCAGAGGTCCACATCACCGGTATTCGCATGTGTTCTCCGTGTTCTATGCGTCGGAAAGTTAAGGGCCTCATCAAGTTGGTGCCTCCACCAACTCTGCATGGTATCGGATTGCCAGCGCCTTGAAGCCCTCTGGCAACTGACCCTCATTGGGTCGTCCCTGAATCTACTTTTGATTTTGTCTTTATAGATTCAAGGGTTACCGGTTTGGGGCCCAAAAGGAAACAGCAAACCGTCCAAGTGCGCTGCTCGCACATTTTCACGCTTGAACAGCCACACTGCGGATGCAACGGGTGTAAAACCCCATAATGACCGATCAAATTCTTCACCCCCCTCTGCGTGTTAAAGGGGCCTTTCACAAAGCAGCCAAACAGTAGCACAACAGAGGGAGAAGGTCAAGGGGAACCGTTGCATTCATGCAAATCCATGACGGATGCGCTTTCAGCGCCACCGCCAAGAAGAATAACTTCCGCTGCTGTCTCCCCATCCGCTCCACTCGGACCAGTTCTGCCAACTGCCGCTGCCCCACTGCTCACCCTCGCGGGCGGCGGGAGCACTTCGTTCGGCATGGCGGGCGGCATTGCGAGCAAGATGCTTGCTGCTTTCGTTCCTCGAAAAGTCTATCGAGTTCCATGCCTGCCGTTCATTTTGGCGAAAAACCCAGTCCATTTCACTGCGGAGGTCGTCCAACGTGTTGCCTTGCAAATGCATAATCCCATTCCAGCAACCAATACTGCGGGGCTTATTCTGCTCCAACACCACGTTGACGAACGCTCTGGGGCTGTAGGGCATCCCTTGGAACAGCACGATCCAGCGAGAGGACAAAGCCTCTTTCAGCTCATTGGGCAAGAACTCCAAGTCTGTTCTGATGTGCGCGAGCCTTGCGATTCGCGACTCCGACGTTGAACCAAGGCCAACGCCCAGAGTGCGCTGGGCCTGCGACTGCTTTGGACCAGCTAGAACAAGATTTGCGCTCAGCTCCATGCGGAGCATGTCCGCCTCCCGACGGCCCACCTCAAGCATACGAACCCTGTATTGAAGATCGAGTTCGTAGCGGTCAAGTAGAGAGTGGTAGCCGTTCTTCAGGGCGCAATTGAGCTTTTTCCGCGCCTCCTGAATGACGGCACTGTCCGGGGAGTTCAAGCCACGAATGATGCTGTTACGATCCTCCTCGCGGAGGTCGGATGTTCCACAGATGCAAGGACCTGAGCTGTGACGTGGGTGCTGAGGCCCATTTTCTTCAACAGGTTGGAACGCTGCATGATGTAATTGCGTTGTTGCTCTTTCAACAGGCGTGGATTGAGGGGAGATAACTGCCCACATGATGTGCAATGCACCTGCCCCTCGAAGACGCTGTTGTTGCAAACCGGGCACGTGGCGACATTCAACTCAACATTCTCCATTGGATTGAAAGTCTTCTGCCTCTTCGCTTCCCCTTGCGGGGCGCGAGGAGAGGCCACATTTGTGCGCGTCGTAGCAATACGTTCCAGCGCTGTTGAACGATCATCTGCCACAGCTTGTTCGCGCTTCATCCCCTGGGGTTCTTCTTCAATCGCCTCTGCTGGTGCACCTGCATCCGATTGCTCGGAGCGAGTGTACCAAACATCGCCATTTGTAGCGTCCAATGCCGAAATAATCGTGTAATTGGGCACCTTGTCGCGCGTGAGGACACCATCGCTCTCTGTCTTGAAAAAGCAAAGCCCTGCGCGAATGGCCATTCTGAGGTCGATTTGTATCTCCAGGGGTCGATCTGCGCGCACACCTGATACGTAGTGTTCGCTTGTGCTGGGGACGTCGGCGAAGAAGACGTGGGGCCGGCCGGTTTCATGCTGATCTCCACCGCCTGGCAATAAGCCGTTCCGTATGATGTTAGCGAAATTTCGCTTGTCAGTGCGGTGGTAAAGCACAGTTGGAGGATTGTCGCAAACATTCCAGCCGGTCCAGCGCCCGAGGTCAGTCCCCGGGTTCACACACCACTCCTTCGCGATGCCGGAGTCGTCGATCTTGAGCCAGTCCTCATGGCCTTGGGAGGCCTTCAGCTTGAAAAGCCAATGAGAACAGGGGACGTCTCCGCACCGGCCTGCGTCCGGGCAACCAAGCAATGAACCTCTGCTTCTTGTCCAATTTGAAAATATCCATGATGTTCTGGATGTTCCATGGAATGGGATGTCGCAGCTCCTTGCGAAGCGCGAGTCCCAAATCTTCGAGGTCCATGTAGCCGTCCTCATCCATCACATACCCGCATCCTTCTGTTCCGCGACCACGAAGGATCTTGGAGATGCATGTCAGGGAACGGTGGTATTCATCACTGATTCTCCTGACAGAAGGGTCGTAGTCGAATGAGGGTTGCTTGATGATGCTGAGCCTCTTGGGGCCTTTGCCGAAATCGACATACTTCACGCCATCGTGAATGCTATACACCCAGCAGTCATAATGGCCCCCTGTCACGCTCCTCCCGTAGGAGTCGAGTGGTACCGGCCTGCTCACCTCCTCGTCCTTCTTTGCCACCGCAGCTGCCTTTGCACCGGCTTGCGCCGGGCGAACACTTTCGGAAACATCTGCACCGGAAGGCTCACCCGAAGTTGCAAACTCGGCTGGGTTGACGGGGGCGAAGTCGAGAGGCTGCCGGACTTCCACTCTTCTCTGGTGAAAGGGAGCCCGATCATCTCCGACAAAGAAACACCGCATTTTGTAAGCGTCTCCTTGCAGTACGCGAGAACCTCAACGTTGACTGTACAATCTTCTTGGTGGCGCAGCTCGAGCACATCGATCGGACGCACGGTACAGTCGTGCGAACGTGTCAGCTCGGCTACGCTGCCCATTGCGGGGCGCAAGATAGAAAGCATATACAACATATGATGGGTTCCGCGCATAAACTGGACGGTCTTCGTGATGTTGTCGTCACTGAAGCACATATGGTACCTGTCCAGCAAGTCGATGGTCTCGACGAAGGGTGTAGCATCTACGTACACGAGCATATGATTGGGGTCGCCAATGATAAAGTCCCGGACTTCAGTCATATAACGGTCCCAAATCATAGAGAAGCCGTAGAGATAGCTTTTCGCGCCGGTCATGACTCCAAGGCATGCGCAGCCCTTGCGGGCCGCGAAATCCCTGGTCCAGGCCAGGTGCCTCTTGGTGTCTGCCAGCATCTGGCTGGCTTCGCCGGCCGGGTGGTCGAACGGGAAGGTGCCACTGGGCTCGATGCCGTCCTTCCCAACAAGCTCATTGCCGTTCCAATAGATCATTGGAACGATGGTCGCCGTCGGGTAGTCCGTACGCACCTCGTCGATAAGGGCGGCCATGCGTTTGCAAAGCTGCTGCAGGCCTTTCCCCCATAGCATTTCGGACCTCCATGCACCGACACGCGCCGGGCGAGAAGAATCCAAGCGTTCCGAAAAATCATATTTGCGGAGCTTCCTCTTCTTGCCGGACACCATTGACAGTCCAGAGTCTGCAACCGTCAGGTAGATGAGGAGATCTCGGTCGGGCACACGAGGTGCCTGCACCACCTTCAAATAGGGCTCGCTGATCGTCAGCAAAGGCGTCAGCAGCTGCAAATAATGCGGTTGGTCCTGCACCCATGTATGGATAAGCGACTGTGCAGAGGTCGTCTCCAAGAGCCCTTTGACTGTTGCTGCGAGGTTCGCGTCATACTTGCCGTTGGTGCATACCGATGTGGTAGCGATATTTTCCATCCACCGCCTCCATGCCGGATCGCAATCCCTCGCGGGATGCGCCATAGCCGTCTGGCCGCTCATTGCAAAAGCAACGGCTGCATGGTGGCGTGTTCGGAGAATGCATTGTGAACGGCATCAGTATAAATGTACGTGTATCCCTCGGCTTCCTTCAAGTGGGAACCACGGCTTTCATCATGCTCGTGAGAACCATCACATTTGAAGTACTCAACATTGCTTTTTCATTGGCTTTTTATTTCTCCCTTTGATGCCGATTTTACAACCATGGAATTCATATTTGTTCATTTTGTACTTCGTCAAGAAAGTCCATAATTCAGGCCATTTCCAATAACGACATGCCTTAGGGAGTTCGAAGGCAATTCTGATGTCATTCGAATAAACATCATTGAGAATGCGATTGAACCCTCTCAACAGTGATCGAAATTGCTTGATGTGGCCCTCAATTTTGGCAGCACCTTTGGGAGTTTGCTGGTTGACATAACCCCACGGGCAACCTCCAGTGCACGGCAACGAGACGTAAAACATGATTGCGCCCTTAGGATTCATGCTCCTAAATTCGGCGATTTCACGGCTCAACCACTTCCTGCACGTTTCGGAGCACCCATCTTCATCTTCAGTGACCCGGATGACACGGCAACCTTTTGAAGAGTCTCTTGATTCACCCAACCGTGAGGTCGTCGAACAACAGAATTCAATAAGGAGCCGCTTGGGCTGAACGTTGCATAATGCAGCGATCTGCCCCCCCTGATCGCTAACTTCTCCGGCCTTGGTGCACGGGGAGAGCAGCAAACTGGTGGCACAGGCTCGCGCCTGGCGACTGGGGGAGATTCCGATCAGCCCAAGTGCATGGTGCCACACCGGGGTGCTGTCAAATGCCTTGGTCAAGATGTCTGCAGCTTGAAGGGTAGTGTCAACATTGATTAATTCAAATTGCCGATTCACGAATTGCTCCTGGAGCCATCTGAAGCTAATGCGTTGGGTCCTATCCGTGTGCCTCAGCTTCTGTGAGTGTCCTTGCTGCAAAATAGTGATCGTGGCCTGATTGTCTTCCATCAGCTTCACTTTCCACTTATCACTGA